ACGTCAACATTCAATGTGGTTGTTATTCATTTTGTTATGTGTAACAATATCCCATCAAGTGCAAATTAATCAGTTAGCAAACATGTGGTTTTCCGTACGTTAAGTACAGGTATTTATATGTGTATAACCATATGGGTTATCACTTCATGTTCTTTTGTTAGATTCACTCCTCAGCTTTTGCTGAGCGTGTAGTTGTTTTTGCTACACGCAGGTAGACATGACGGTACAGGTGCTAACCCTAGAGGACAGTGATGGTGGGAAGATGGGCGGCGCATGGACAAGTTCAATAATTAAATACATTTAATTAATTAATCATTTGGGCATGAACCCACCATATGTCGTTTTATTTATTTTGGACTTGTCAATTTACTTCCGCTTTTACTCTGCATTTAAATCACACATGTTTTGAAATTAATTCCCTAGCATTTATTTCACCAATTAAACTCAACCGTTTCCATAATAAATAGTCATTAGTGCATTTTCCTCTACGGACGGTTCTCGGACCGCCCATGTAACCCTACCGGTCCGTTGAGTCGCGGTGAACCGGGTCCACGGAAGGCGGGTGTTACATCCTCTGTTCCAAGTGAACTGCATACCAGTAGCCTTAGCATCAAGAAGATCATTATTGAGTCTAAACTGTAAGAGGTCAGTCATATCATAAGCATAGGTATGACAGTTAATCCTCTCACTAGAATCCAAAACAGCATTGAAATCCCCCATAATAGCCCAGGGAGTGTTGATTCTGCCAGCAATATCAGTAAGTCTGTCCCAGAGGTTCCTTCTCACACTTACATTGTATAAGGCAAAAACAAATGTAATGTGAAAAGTTTTCTGGGTAATAGTACAAAAAATCCCACAATGGATATACTGATCAGCAACTTCCAAAACTTGGCAATTAACAAAATTGGGGTTCCATAATATAGCCATCCTTCCATCATCAATCATATCAAAATTATCAGTTGAAGCCCAAGAAGGAAGTTTATTGTTGACAAAAAGTTTAAGTTTTGCTTGGGTCATCTTAGTTTCCAAAATGCAGCATAAGTTCACCCCAAGATCCATAATGTATTTACACAAAAAAGATTGTTTAGAGGCCCTATTAAGGCCTCTAAAGTTCCAGCAGAGTACCTTCATTTAAGAGTTAGGGCTTGGACCCCTTCCCCTTCCTCTGTTTGCACCATTCCTGTATCCATGTGTCTGTCCACGCCCCATACTTCTAGTTTCTCTCCTATATTGAGGCTTCAAAGGATGTGCAGTTAAGGTTCCTTTGCCTCTTCCCACCAGTGTGAATCCATCATTGTCATCCTTCCTAGTGAATGAAGGTGAGGGTTCATCAGGGTTAGCATGGGCTTTCTGAGTATTAGTATGCTCCAACCCCTCCTTTTGTTTGCCATGATATTTGTCCTGCCCCAGCTTGCCATCCTGTTTGTCCCTAGTTTCTGTTCTGGGAGTGGTTTTCAGGACTTCCACTCTGGCCTCCTCCCTGTCCCTCTGTTCCTCCTGCTCCTTCTTCCTTTCCATTTCAAAAAGCTGAGCACAGTCAAAAGGAGTATGCCCAAATTTCTCACAATGATAACAGTAGAGGAGGAGATCCTCATACTCCACAAATTGTGAATAGCTGCCTCCAACAAAATTGACCTTCACACAGGAAGGGGGAGGTTTGGAGAGATCCATATGAATGAGGACTCTACAGAAATTGGGTTTCTTGTAGGCCAGATTGTCCTCTGGGTCCTTCTCCACAGTAAGTTTGGAGGCAACCTTGTTAGTCAGACCATCTGTGAAGAGTGGTCTTCCAAGTTTTGAAGCAATCTTAGACAAGCTGTTAGGACCCCAAAACTGCATAGGGACATCCATGAGTTTCACCCAAACTGGCATGGTTGAGAAAGATTTTGCATTCCACATGAATCCATCCTATGGAATGTTGAGTAATAGCTTCTTGTTGTTGATTCTGTGGTCATCCCTATGTAAGATTGAGTCTCTGTCTTCATTATTCAGGAACTTGAAGACCACCCAGCCCTAATGATGAGGGAGGAATTGGCAAGGTACTTTCCAGGACTCCACCAAAGTTTGAATAGGTGCCAGCCCAGGGAATCTGCCAGTGAAACAGCCAACCAAGCAAGGTCCCCATAATTCCTCCATTGGGGTCACATCCTCAGGCTGGATAAACACCTCCTCATCCTCAGTCATTTCCACCTGGTGGAGTTTCATACCTTTATCCTCAGACCTGTTCTTTTCAAAGAGTGAAGCAAAGCTTTTCTTCTCAGCTGGTGTATCCACTTTATTACCGGGTACATTGCCATCATTGTTTCCAGTTTCTTTCTCACAATTTTCCTTCCCAATGGGTTCAGCAGTTTCAGGAGCTTCAGCATTAGCTACTGGAGTATCTCCATTGTTGATGCCAGGCTTATCCTTCTGCAGTTCTTGCTCAAACCTTTCCTCATCCAGAGAAGGAGTCTGGGATTCAGGGTCATCATCTTCTTCGACAGTCACATCACCAGTGTTGGAACACGGGGTGAAATCCTCCTCAGTCATAACCGGAAACTTATCCACATTCTCAACAGAATCCACAGTCTCACCTCCACCCCCAGACTCAACCTCCATATCACGAAGAAAGTTACGCAGCTCTTTCTTGTTTGGAGGAGTAGGAGGTGGAGGTCTAAGCTCCTTCTTCTTGCCCTTCGCCATCTAAGAACAGCTCAAAACAAAGGAAGGACCAGCAACACTTACCAGAAAACCATCGGGAAGCTTGTTGTAGAAGATGATTCGTTAACTCCCAAATCTTGAACAACGCCGCTGGAAATCAGGATGGATAGGCTCGCCTTGGAGTGTAGAAGACCAATCTGCAACCAAAGGTGGAGAAATCCAAGAGAGCACGCCGGAAAATGGACGGAACTAGTGCGCGGTTACTATTAATCGCGATCGCCAGAGAGAGAAACTCTGTCCGCCATTATTGAGAGCTCTTTCAAGGGTAAAATGTAAATTATTATTACCCCAACTCAGAACGGTACATCAATGTCAAATGCCGAACCATAAGAATGGTTCCATGCATAAATAAGACAACAAACATCAACAACAAAGCCAAAGATAATACAACAATCAACATACATAAACTTGGCACGCAGGCCATACAAAATACATAATCATCACTAAAACATCAATGTGGTCCCACTTCATCATAGCGGACCACGTCCCGGCTCTTGTGGAATCCGCTTCCAGCTACGAGTACCATGCATCATCCCGGCAATAGTACGGTAGGCAAAACAAGAGCATGGAGGGAGCATATATTGGGGGTATCAGCACAGACCACCCATATATACTCCCTCCCCAAGGATCCAGTACAAAAAACGCTCAAACAAGATTCAAAACCAGCTTCAAAGTTCTTCATTCAATGTCATGCATCCAAAAGAGGCGAGTGAAATGTTAATCTTACCATAGTCACCATCATCCATCAACAAGGTTGATGCTTTCCACCGGCATTCCAAGGGGCCAGTCCCCGAGTGCCAGAAGTTGTCCACCCTCGTCAAGGCAGACAACTTAAACTCCAAAGTGACCTGAGAGACACACACTCTGCCATACAAACCCCTCCTAGGTCTATGGTCAGAGTTCCCCAAAGGTATTTGGCAAGCGTCCCCATAAAGACTAAGTGCAAGTTCACTAGGTTGTCCCGTAAGCCTTCATCAACAATTGCCCTCGGTTTGAGTTCAGAAGCAAGACATAGATAGGCAGGATCCAGCGAAAACAAACTCCCAGCGAAAACAAAACCCGAGAAAAAGCAAAATCAACCACAAGATGCACTTGTTGGCCGAGATAACCCAGGCTCCTCCAAAAACCCCAACCGAAAGGATGAGAAAGAGCTTAGGCAGCCTGCCAGCAGGACCATTGAGGCAAAATACAACATAAAACTCAACCCCAATCGAATGGTATTACCTCCATCATGAGGTAAAACCGCGTGAGAAACTCATCAAAATCAGTTGGTATTACCTCAACAAATGAGGCAAAACCAGGGGCATCAGGAAAAAATACAGAAGCTAACCAATTAGACCATCATGCCCAAGAGATTCAGCTCCAATTCAGCCCACATGCAGCCTAATTCACACTTCCAGAATCAGCATCTGGTGCAGACCAGCAAATCCAAGTCCATGGCAGCATATTCAAGTTCATGGCATTGTTTAAGCATGGAAAACAGCCCCTTGGAACCCAACCTAGCAGCGCCACAATGCCATTTGGACTCCAATTTCTAGCGGAGATAATCAGTAAAGGTCAGCAAAGGTTGGGCAGAAGCAAGTCCAGTCCAGTGGCCTTCAAAACAGTAGCAGGAAGAAGTCTTCTATGGCAGAAAGTCTGGGCAGAGACCATATCAGGCTTGCCAAGAATTCACCCTCCACATCACAGCTTGAAGCTTCCAAACCTTACCAAATTCCAAAAAGGCGCAGCAAAAACAGTTGTACATCACACAAAGCCCAAAACACAGCAAGGAACACTGCCTAATCACAGCAAAAGCTCTCCAAAACCAGCCCAAACACTACCCAAAGTCTCCCAATTGCTCTGGGCAGATTGGGGTATTTGCAGTGCAGTTCCATAGCTCCACCAAGTCCAACATATAGTTTTCCAAAGCACAAGGAAATCCTCAACATAAAACCATAAGAAACCACGTACAAAGATCCCAAACAGCATGCCCCTGGTAAAAGACCAAGGCCTGCTCCAGGCAGTTCTGTCCTCATTGTATATGTCCCATAGTCCCAAGCGTAGGACTAGGGTTCAACCCAGTAATCAAAAGAACAGGCCAAGCAAAAAGGAGCTCCAGTACCACCATACCAAGAACACAGAAAACAAAACACAAAACCACAACATAAATTGGACCCAAAAACAATCATAAACGAGATACAATGCGTAGTCCATCTTCGCAGATGAACAGTGACCCCGTATATCCAAAGTTCTTCAAATCACATGAAAATCGAGTGGGTATGTACTACAGCTTTATACCTTAAATTAACAGACAGTTTCGCTCATGATCCTTGAACAGAATCCATCAATTTCGCTTCAGACGCCATAAATCTTCAATTTAGTTCGTCGATGAATAGTAAACGCGAAGCGTTGACCTTCGGTTCTCCCAAAATCCAATCCCAAAAACAGCAAAATAACCTCAATAAAGGATTCACCCGCTGTAGGCGCACCCTGAGATCCAAAAATCTGAAGCAAAGCTCTCAAATTGATGGAGAAACGGTGAGAAAGCCCCCTGCGAGACACTGTTCATCGCAGGCTCTAGAGAGAGAAACCCCCGCCTCCATTATTGAGAGCTCTTTCTTCATTATTGAGAGCTCTTTCAAGGGTAAAATGTAAATTATTATTACCCTAATCAGAACGGTACATCAATGTCAAATGCTGAACCATAAAAATGGTTCCATGCATGTAAAAGACAATTACAACACAAGCCCAAACGGGTAACAAACAATCAACAATACAATCAACAATACAAACTTGGCACGTAGGCCATACAAAATAGACATCCATAACAAAGTCATCAATGTGGTCTGGGTCGTCCAGGCTCTTGTGGGCTCAACCTCCAGCCTCCAGTACCATGCACCATCACGGCAATAGTATAGTAACAAAACAAGAGCAAGGAGGAAGTATCTAATGGGAGTACCAACAAAGTCCAACCATAAATACTCCCTCCTGAAGGATCAGGTATCGCAAACAATCTCTCAAGGTGATCAGCAAAAGCACGTCAAAAATCAGGTCAAAATGTTCTTCATTAACGGTTGCATCCAACAAAAGCAAGAGTTAAGTTATTCTTGCCATAGTCACCGTAAGCAAGCCAAGGGCCAAGCCTCAAGTACAAGAAGTTGTCCACCATCGTCAAGGAGGACAACTTAACTCCAAAGTGACCCCACTCTGCCATACAAACCCCTCCCCTAGGTCTACGGCAAGAGTGCCCCCTGGGTATTTGGCAAGCATCCCCAAACAAACGAGGCACAAGTTCACTAGTTGTCCCATAAGCCTTCATCTAGTATTGCCCTCGGTTGAATTCAGAAACAATACGTAGATAGGCAAGAAAACCTGCGAAAACAACCTCCCAAACCCAAGAAAGTAGCCCAGTTAGCCAGAAGATCAACTTCATAGCCAATATATCCCCGGTTCTTCCACCAACCCCAACCGAAAGGGTCAAGAAGAGCACTGGGCAGCCTGCCAGCAGCAGCAAAAGGCAATAGTAAACATAAATCCCAGCTTCAAATCAAATGGTATTACCTCCACTAGAGGCAAAACCATGGTTGGTTAGAATTGATTGCCAAACCAACCAAAGAAAGAACCTTCAAAATGCAATAAGTCAGCCCAAGAACTGTCCAAGGTTCCACTCAACCTTCCAATCAAGCATCCAGAACTCAAGAAATCAGCTTAATCAATCAGTCCATACGTAACCCATGTCTAGATTCAGACTTGGAATACAAAATCTGGCCAAAAACAGCAATGAATCTTCAAATTCAAGGTGAACTTACTGCCCAAATAATTACTGGGCAGCAAGTCTGATTTTCCAGCCCACCATGCACCCCCTGTTAGTATCCAAGACAGCCCTTAACCAAACTCAGGATCAAAGTCACCAAAAATGCCCAAAAAGCCTGAAATGCAGTTACAATTACAGCCCCAAGGAACCCAAACCAGCAGCGCCATGAATTCCTTATGAGCTCCATAATCCAGCCACTGCAATTCACAAATTGAATGTGTCCAGCCACTGCATATTCCAGCCAAGATTGCCCATGAACAGCCTGCCTTAGCACCTGCAAGTACCTTCAAGCAATGGTCATTCCCTCCACATCTGTGGCTTCCCCTATTGGCTCGTCCAAAACCATTAGGGGGGAACAAGCTGGTCAATATGCTGTTGAAGGGTGCAGTATCATAGCCAATGCAATTCAATGGTCAATCTCCATGGAAATCAAAGTAATTTAACCCCATAGCTGAAATAGTTCAGCCCTCATATCATGCCAGTGGTACAGCTCCAGGGCATAGCAGAACATCATTCAAATAGATGCATTCGAACAGAAATAGTCAAGAACAACCAACAAGAATCCACGAAATTGAACTCCACATCAAGCAAAACAATTAAAGTCCAATGTCTCGGATGAAAAGTAAATTCGCAGTCCAAAAATTCCTCAAATCATATGGAAATTCAAATGGATATGGAATCCACCCTCAAAACTTGAAAGGGGGACACACATCGGTCATTATCCCAGGAATTAAGCCATCGAAGTTACCTGCATCGTCGTGAAACCAAAAAACGAGCAAAGGTGAACAGTACAAACCACGGCGTTGACTTTCAAGTCATCGAAGAGCATCTCAAAATTCAGCGTAAAAAGCTCTGTTAAGGATTCCCCCGCTGTTGGCAAACCCAGAGTTCCAAAAATCTGAAGCAACAAGCTCAAATTGATGGAGAAATCGTGAAACCCCCCCTCGCGGTACTGTTCATTCGCGGCTAGAGAGGAAGACGTCAGACTCCATATTGAGAGCTGT